GCACAAAACCAGGAACTGCAGGGAGTGCGGCAGGGGAAAGAGCTCAGGGTACCCACCACAGTATGGCTCTGAACCCCCCGCTTCATAGCCACCTACATAACTCCTTTCAAAAGTGGATCATCCTGGGCATCAAGATATGTAGACTCTTTGGGCATGAGACCAAGAATCTGTGTTTCCCCAAGTGATTCCACTGCACATCAAGCCTAAGAAACACACTTAACAAACTCAGCCCAACAACCTAATTTATAAGGGTAGTCAAGGAGATGAAGATTTGGGAGTCTTCCGGATTACTTTAAAATACACAATCAAAATTTCTACAGTAAAAGATGTATAATTATTTCATTGTTACTGTATAAAAAAATTGTTCCTAGTCCTGGAATGACAGGTGCCTACAAGACCCCTAACTCTTAAAAATCTATTCCCCCAATGTTTAAAAAAAAACCTCAAGTGATCTTAAAAAAGGGGGAGGGAGAGGAGGCAAAAACTTCCTCGTATTCCTTATAAATGCTTGCCATATCATAAAATTGAGTACAGTAAGAGTAGAGAGCAAGTCCAACCAGTCCAAATGGCGCCTGGGTGGCTCAGTTGGTTAAGCAATGGCTCTCGATCTCAGGATCATGAGTTCAAGCCTCACAACTGGCTCCACGCTGCTGGGTGTGGAGCCTACTTTAAAAAAATAAATAAATATATAATGTTTCTAAGTCCAACTACTCCAAAATTTTTCTCATAGCTAACCACCAACACCAAAAGCTCAGCCCTACTTTCAGCTTATGACTTTAACTCCCTGATTCTGTAGACTGTTGGCCTTAAGCACACAACAGCTACAATGTTTTCTCATCATTACTTTAGGAAGGAAGACCCCTTAGATTTTAATGTGTAGTGTTTTGTACAACACATTTGATTAAGATAGGAACATTTCCACAATCATTCTGGTAGTTACTGGATAAATTAACTCTGAATATTAAAATTTATAAAATACTATTTCATGTTTGTGGTAATTACTGTTCCCTGGGAGGCCATACAGCCAATTAAAAACAACAAAGACAAAAATAAAACAAATAAATACTAAGTAAATAAATGCAAACAACAAAGTCTGCAAAATAAGAAGGCCGGCAATTTGAATGCAACCGACCACGCAGTTACTTCCTACCCCTTGACTCTGAGCACGTGAGTCAACCACTGGAAGCCACCATTTCCTTATCAGAAGGATTAAATGAGATAATCGAGGTGAAGCGGGCCACAGAGTGCGCAGTACCGGCTAGTCCTCAGGAAAGGTATGTACACATGAAAGAGATACAAGAATGTCTCTGAAAAGGCACCCAGGAATACCACTGATGGATGTGTCGGAGCACAGAACCTGGGGCCCTCCGGGGAGTGGAAAGACTACACCATTTTCTGCTCTGTATTTTTAACCAGTGCACGTAATACCTTCTCGAGAAATAAAACAATTCTGAAGTACCTGTGACGGGTCAGATTTCTCAGCATCGAGGAGCAGGCACGGCTGCGGAACCCGCGAAGGAGCCAGAGTCTAAGAATACCCACAAAGAAACACACGGCCTATCTGATTTCCAGCGCCTGTCAGGTGATCTCACTTGCTTCACAACAGCCACCACGATCTTAACAAAACAACCCTAAACCAGGGACTTTTCAACCTGGGTTGGTTTTAATCCCTCAGGGGACACTGGCAAAAGAGACAGATCTGGCTGTCACAACCGAAGGGGTGTACTACCACTGGCACCTGGTGGGTAGAGGCCAAGAACGCTGCTAAGCATTCTGTAAGGCACAGTATCTGCCCCAAATGTCAGCAGTCCTGAGTCCGAAAAGGTCTGCAACCAAAGGAACCAGGCTCCTCACCCCAGTTCCCAACCAAACAGACACACAGAGTAAACTGTCCCCTCAAGTGACACGTGATGAAGTCCAACCCTGACAGGTCAGCCTCATACAGCTGACCAGCACCGACACTGCTGTTTAAGCCTCAGAGATCCCAGCAGCTAGACCCGCTTCCAGGTTCCTCTTCCAAACTCCACTCAACTTGTTTCAAGACTTTAAAGCATTTATCACTAAGCCTGTCAAAATTCAGGCTCAATGACTTTAGAAGATAACCGTTCTTTAGCGTTTCCAAATGACATCTGAGGATCCACAAGCTCAAATGACGCCCTACTGACAACACACAACAGGGCCTTGGCGCTAGCGAGTCGTTCTCACGTCCTTCCAGAGAACGTGATACGCTGACGTTTCACTTAATGCTGACGTTTCACTGCCTTGGCATACTGTTCTGTCCATGTTAATTAAAATCCTCCAAATGTTGAAGAAATTAGGAAGAGTCCGTTGTTTCTGATCAAGAAGACAAGAAAAATTAACCAGCAGTTCAGCAACTTTATAAGGAGGCTTGGAAAATGACACACCATACCCTCTCCCCTCTTTAACCAGCCTTATCACAAAGTCCACCAGCGGGGCGCGGCTGGCTCTGTCCGCAGAGCGTGCGGTAGTCCTGATCTCCGGGTTGCGGGTTTGGGTCCCATGCGAGGCCTAGGGATCACTTAACAATAAAATCTTTTTTTTTTTTTTAAAGATTCTATTTATTTATTTGAGAGAGAGACAGTGAGAGAGATCATGAGCGAGGAGAAGGTCAGAGAGAGAAGCAGACTCCCCGCGGTGCCGGGAGCCCGATGCGGGACTCGATCCCAGGATTCCGGGATCACGACCTGAGCCGAAGGCAGTCGTCCAACCAACTGAGCCACCCAGGCGTCCCAACAATAAAATCTTAAAGAAGAATCAACCACAAATGAAAAACTTTGGAAAATATTTTATCATTTGGGATTCGTCTTGCCAAAAAGTGCAAAACTGAACCGAGAGGGCACCGACCTCTAGCGCTGAGCAGGAACGTCCCTCTGTGGACACTGTTGGTCACACTTTACTGTCCTGGTAACTGACTGGCTTCTCGCACCCCTTTTAAAGTGCATGTGCTCCCCACCGGGCGGAAGCCGGACCCTGTCTTAACACACCCAGTGTGCCCGCACTAACAGACCCTCAGGAAGGACCCCCCGCGAGACAGAAGCACACCCCGATCCTGCCTCCGAGACCAAACAGACACATCTACAACACATCTACAAAAATTCGAGGTGCGGCAGGGCGCTTGCTCCACCGCGTCCCCGCAGAGCTGCCCTGTCCCCCCGGAGTCCCTCCCCGTGCGCACCCACAACTTTGTCCCGGTCCAAACCTGCTGGCTCATGGTCTAATAATATCCCTAACCCTGACACGGTCTGTACCAGCCCCTGACGACCTTCTTCTAGAGGCCACCTGGTGACTGAGACAGCGGCGGCGGTCCCGGGGCGCCGGGGGGTGGGGGGGACTCGGGGGACTCGGGGGGCTCGGGGGGCTCGGGGGGCTCGGAGGGCTCCGGGCGCGCCCCCTCCACCCGGCCGGCCGCCGCTCCCCACGCGGGCACCACGTGGGGCTGCATTGTGAGCCCGCGCACCCCCCGCGCACCCCGCGCACGCCCGGCCCAGTGCGCATGCCCCGCTCGCACCGTCCTGGCGGAGTCGGAGCCAACCCCCTAAAAAGTCCACCTGGAAGCTGCAAACGGCCGAGGCCGGGACGATGGGGGGAGGGGGCCGCAGGCCCCGCCGGGAGGCCGCCCCGGCCGCCGCCCCGACCCGGCCCGGCCCGAGCGTCGCGGCTCCCGAGGCTCAGCAGGTCGGCGCGGGGGGCCGCGGCGCTCGCAGCACAAAGCCCGGGGCCGGCCCGCTCCCACCCTCCCCGGCAGGCGGGCGGACGAGGCGGGCGGCGGGAGCCGTGCCAGGCGGAGGCAGGCCGGGCGGCCCCGCGCACCCGCCCGCCGAGCCCCACGCGCCACGGCCGCCCAGGCCGGCGCTTTTGTTGTCCGCCCCAACTCCGCGGCGCCGCGCGGCCGCCAGAAGTTTTGCGCGCCTCCCCTCCGCGGCCCGGCCACCTCCCCTAGCCCGCCCGGATCCCGCCCGCCCCGGCCCGGCCCCCCGCGGCCCGCGGGGCCCGACGCCCCCCCCGCCCCCCCGGGCGACCCCTCCCCACGCCGGCCGCACCTGAGCCCCGGGGCCCGCCCCTCCGGGCACCCGCAGCCCCTCCCCCGCAACGTCCCACCGGGTAGTGGGGGAGGGGGCAGGCGCCGGGCCCGGTGCCCGCGGCGGGGCTGCGTCCCCGCCCCCGACCCCCCTCCCGACGCCGGCCCAACGCCGGGCCGGGCCGGACGGGCGCGCCGGGCTCGCCCGCGGCCCGCCCGCCCCGGAGGAGGAAGCACTCAGCGGCTCCGGCTCCCCGTGGCCCGGCCCGGCCCGAGCCCCGCCGCCAGCCCGCGCTCACCTGCCAGCTGTCTCCGCAGCAGCAGCGCCGACTGCAGCTCCGTCATCCTCCCGCCGAGGGCCCGGGCCGGCGCCGGGGCTTCCGGGGGGCCGAGGGCGGGCTGCGGCGGCGCCGGGAGCCGGGGGTGCTGAGGAGCGCGGGCCCCCGCGACGGGAGCGCCGGAGCCGGGGCAGGCCGGGCCGGGGCGGCGGGAGCAGCGCCTCGCTGCCGGCGCGGGTCCGCTCGGCTCGGTTCCGCACGGCGCCTCACGCCCGGAAGGGGAGGGCGCCCGGGCGGCCGCGGCGCGCACTGGGACTCGGCTCGCCCGCTTCCCTCCTCAGCCCGCCCGTCGGCCCCGCCGGTGCCTTCCCCCCGCCACTGCCTCACTGCACGCAGGGCCGCTCCGCGCAGGCGCGCTGGGGCTGCCCACCTCGGCTCGGCCCGCCCGCAAGCCCGACCCCTCGGCGGCCCGGCCCCGCCCCCGGTGGCGGAACCCCACCCCCCCGCGCGCCTCCGCCTGGCCGCAGCCATCTTGAAGAGGTCCGGCGCAGCCGACGCCCAGCGGATGCCATGACGGGGAGGTCTCGGAGCGCCCGGACGTCGCCCCCCGGGTGGCGGCAGGTGGGCTGGATCGCCGGGGCCGACGGGAGCGGCGGCCGGTTGGTCGGTCGAGCCGAGCTTGGCCCCGGTGTGCCCTGCTTTAAGTGGACCCCAAACGGGCTGCCCGTGCGCTGCTAGTTCACGTTAGAGAAGGCGCGGAGACAACGGGGGCGCAGGGCCGCGCGCCGATCGGACACACGCAGCGAACCCCGGGCAGGGGCAGCGCGGCGGGGCCGACTCCGGCCCGTGCGGTTCAAAACGCGGTGCAGGGGGCGCCTGCGGGGCGGAGATGCGGGGAGCCCCCTCTCCCAGCGGCGCCGCCCGGACCGGAAACCGCGAGGGCGCCGGCGCGCACCCGTTCCCTCCCGGACGCCCGTCCAAGCCGCCCGACGCCGCCGCGGGCGCGGGAAGGACGCGGGGAGTGCGGCCCCCGCCCACCCGGAGCGCCTGCGGCCCACGAGCCCCAAGAGAGCCCGCGCCCAGCCCCGCGCGCCGGGAACGCAAGGCGACCCCGAAGACCCCGGCGCGTGAGACCCGACGCGCCCGCGGCTGCCCCGGGGCAGGGACGGGCCCCCAGAGCGCTCAAGGGTGTCTGCGTGGAGGCGGCGAGCCGCCCGGGACGGCCCCGGTCTGGGATCGCTCGGGCGGCGCTCCGGAGGGCGGCAGCCCCGGCTGGAAGAAACCAGGCCTCTGGGGGCCCTGCAGCTGCCCCCGCTCCCGCTGAACAAACAGCCCCGCTTTCTGCACGGGACGCCTCCCTTTGAAAACAAACTTTGGTTTTATGGAAGCAGCCAGAGCGCAGAGTTCGTCATCACTGCGTTCCGGCTCTTGGAGATGCCCTCCCCGCCCCGAAATCCCACTGCCCCTGCTGACCCCCGTCCGGCTCAAAGCCCCTTCTTCTGGGAGCTACGTCCATTTACTCCGTATAATCCACGTTAATGCTGTTCCTGACTTGGCCGTTTTAGACCCTCTGTCCTCCTGCTGCATCAGATGACGGTTTAGCTTTATGTTACCTTCCAGCAGTCATTCTCCTAATATCTTTAAATCGTCACATTATATCAATCGGTAGTTTTTACGTTAATAGTTGTTAGGTCAAGAGAAATTTGTACACTGTTGTGACTTTGTAAATGTTGACTGTAATGGGTTATAATTGCATTTGTTCCTTAACACAGACTTTTTTTTTTTGGGCTAGAGTTTCTGATGATACCTTGTTTTCCTTGCAGTGTCTGGAGTATAATCAATATCCTTACCTTCCCTGTCCCACCCCACCCCCTGTTATTGTATTCTATCAAGCCCTTTTTCTTAGAAAACTCCTTCCATGAAGCCTGTACACACCCCTCTTATCAGGCCTGGTTGTCTTGAGCCATGCCTGCCATCAGGACGTCTTCTAGGGTTCCCCCGGACCACTCTCCTGGGCTCCGTCTACATCATCCCATATCTCAAGCATAATTCTTCTTTGTGTATTCTTTCCTTTTGCTGGAGCATATTATCAGATCATTCTGAGACATATGTATGGGGCAAATTTTCTAAGTCCTTCTATGTCCAAAAATGTCAAAGTTTTAAACATCTAAAACTTAATGCCAGCTTAGCTGGGTATAGAATTTTATGTTTAAAATCATTTTTTTTCTTCAGAAATATGAAATTATTGATCCATTGTCTTTTGGCATTCGGCGATGCTGTTAACTCTTATTCCGTTGTAGATGACCTATTTTTTTCTTGGATATTTGTGGCATTCTCTTATTACATCTAGTATTTTAAGGTATGGTGATAGCACACCTTGGTATGTCTATAGGGTGCTCTCTTTGTAATTGTGCTCACGGTGAATTTTGAGGTGAGACAATGGTTGTTTTTTTTTAAGATTTTTATTTATTTATTTGACAGAGAGAGATCACAAGTAGGCAGAGAGGCAATCAAAGAGAGAGGAGGAAGCAGGCTCCTTGCTGAGCAGAGAGCCCCATGCGGGGCTCAATCCCAGGACCCTGGGACCATGACCTGAGCCAAAGGCAGAGGCTTTAACCCACTGAGCCACCCAGGTGCCGTGGTTGTTTCATTTACATGTAGAGATGAACATAGGATAATGAGATAGTCTGCATTTACCTGCAGTATAAAAAAATTATTTTAAAAGCAGTTGATAGGTGCCTGGGTGGCTCAGTCAGTTAAGCTTCTGCCTTTTGCCCAGGTCATAATCCTGGGGTCCTGGGATTGAGCCTTGCTTTGGGCTCCCTGCTCATTGGGGAGCCTGCTTCTCCCTCTCTCTCTGCCCCTCCTCGCTGCTCATGCTCTCTCTCTCTCTCTCTCTCTCTCTCTTTCTTGCTCTCTTGCTCTCCCTCAAAGAAACAAATAAAATCTTTTTTTTTTTTAAAGCAATTGAGGGGCACCTGAGTGGGTTAGTGGGTTAAGCCTCTGCCTTTGGCTCAGGTCATGATCTCAGCATCCTGGGATCAAGCCCCGCCTCAGGCTCTCTGCTCGGCAGGGAGCCTGCCTCCCTCTTTGCCTGCCTCTCTGCCTACTTGTGATCTCTCTCTCTCTCTGTCAAATAAATAAATAAAATCTTTTTAAAAAATTAATTAATTAATTAAAAAGCAATTGATATTTGTATGTTGATCCAGACACCTCACTAAGCTCTAATCACTTATCTATAGATTATTTTGATTTTCTACAAAAATAATATGTGTCCAAATAATATCATTTCTATGTCTTTCTTTTGAAACATTGCTTCTCTTTGTTTCCTCTCCATGCAGGCTAGGATCTCCAGCAGAGTTGCCTAGAAGACATGGTAGTGGGCGCCATTGTCTTCCATTTTTAAAGGGACTGTTTCAGTGTTTTGCTATTAAGTCTCACGCTGCAATTTGGTTTTTGGTTTGGGGGGGGGTGTTTGTTTTGTTTTTTGTTTTTTGGGATTTTTTTTTGTAGATCCTTTTAACAGATCAAGGAAGTTCCCTGCCATACCTTGCTAATTTAGATATATTCTTAGAATAATTCCCAGATCTTTATCTATTCTGCAGATCTTTCACCAGAAGCTGCTATTGGCACACTCACCTAACGTTGTATTCGCTTACTTCGCAAGTGTTTGTTGAGCACCTGCTATAAGCTGAAGGTGGGTTTTAGGGGGATCTGGTTAGTTGGCTGAGTGTCTGACTCTTGATTTCCACTCAGGTCACAATGTCTGGGTTGTGAGGTTGAGCCCTGTGTCAGGTTCTGTTCTCAGCGTGGAGTCTGCTTGGGATTCTCTCCTCCCTCTACCCTTTCCACTCATGTGCGCTCTCTCTCTAAAATAAATAAATTAATAAAATATTTAATTAAAATAATAAAAATGGGGGCGCCTGGGTGGCTCAGTGGGTTAAGCCTCTGCCTTCAGCTCAGGTCATGATCCCAGGGTCCTGGGATCGATCCCCACATCTGGCTCTCTGCTCAGCCGGGAGCCTGCTTCCCCCTCTCTCTCTGCCTACTTGTGATCTCTCTCTCTCTGTCAAATAAATAAAATCTTTTTTTAAAAAAATAATAAATAAATAAATAAATAAAATAATAAATATGGTGATTTTTAAGACAAGGTCTGGGAGTAAACTAGGCACATCAGCTCAGATCCCTACTGTCATGGGGCCAATAACCAGTAGGAGAGAACAGTCAGTAAAAAAACCTAAACAAATATGGAACAATTCAGCTTTGGATTACAATCAGGGATATGATGGAAATAAAAGGGTGAGTGAATGACTCAAGAAAAAGGGTCAATACTAGATAAGGTAGTCAGGGAAGTCCTCTCCCAAGAGAAGGTATTTGGACTGAGATCTGCATTCCAAATAGGAGATACGATTTGAGGGTTCTGTGCAGGGGAAGCAGCTACTGTTCAGGCCCTCAGAGAGGTAAGAGGTCAGCTTGTCCAAAGGCTAGAAAGCTGAGCATGGGTGGGCTGGGTCCACTGGAGCCCAGTGAGGAGGGCCCCAAGATAGGCAGGCAGGGACCATTTTTGTAAGGGGTCTTGCTGACCACAGCAGAGAGTCTGGATTTTAGCTCAGTTGTGGTGGAAGCCTTGGCGGGTGTGTGATCTAATTTAATTTACATGGTCGAAATCTCCCTTGGTGCTTATAGAAAAGAGAAGAGTTTTCTGGAAGACCCGTTGGAAGCCTACTGCACAAGATGAGGCAAAAAATGGGATGGCTCGAGCCAGGACAGGAGTGGGGATGGTAATAGGCGTGAGAAAGGGGTTGGGGAATGGATTTGAGATACATCCTGGGAGTAAGAAGGAAGGGCTTGCTGGCAGATTGAATATAGGTGAATGGGAAAGACGATTCCTAGGTTTATGACTCCTGGAATAACTGAGCTGGTTTGAAAAAGGCAGAAGGGAAAATGGGCTTTGGTGTGGGGTTATCTACTTGGAGGACGTCTTTTTTTAGCTGTTTATTAGGCATCCAAGCAGAGATGTTGAATTAGCAGACACATACCTACACCTGGACTGCAGAGAAGAGAGACGAGGCCAAAGCTACAAGATAACACATTTGGAGAAAGCAGCATAGGCTTCGCAGGGAGAATGTGAAAGTGTGATAAGATTTTTTTTCCTTAAGCCTAAAAATGAGCCCAGCCATCTGAGCACCCAGCCCTCTGAGGTCAGGTAGAGCAGGAGGAACTAGCAGTGGAGGCTGAGAACGTGGACAAAAGGAGAAAACCTCAGATGGGAGGACATGTTCCCGGGAGGAAGGAATGGTCAGCTGTCGCATGCTGCTGAGAAGGATGTGGGCCGAGACGTGTTCGCTGAACCTTGAACCCAGGCCCCTGTTGCTCGCCTGGACGGGAGAAGCTTTGTAGAGCACACCGAGTGCCGTGGACTAAAGGCTGAACACGGTGAGAGGCCACGGGTCTCGGTGCTGAGGGCTTAGATGCAGTTTGTGGTCAGGAACTGAAAGCTCGTAGATCCAGCTCAGTAGTATTTTTTCTGGTGATGTTCAGCTGGTCGGGTGCACGTGGAGAAGGACGATCGCTGGGTGCCCCGGTCTGTAAGTGGAGAGAGATGGAGACAGGCGAATGCGTCGAGGGTATGTGAAGAAAGCGACTGTGTCTTGTCTCTATAGAGAGGGATGTGGAAACTGGAAGGAGCTGATCGGTAGCAGAGAAGTGATACAAACAATGGAGTCTTGATGAGGTTGAAGAACTGCGTGGCACAGTCACTAGACCAAACGAGCTGGGAGGACAGGAAATGCTGGTGGTGCATTGTTTGGAATCCAGAATTCAGATGTGATCTGTTTATGGTGTCAAGGTTGTGTCACGTGAAGGTGGGACAGGCTGGCTGGTGGGCGGGGCGCGGCAGTCAAGGAGGTGACAGGCAGGAGTCCTGGATAGGTCATTCCTGTGGGTCATGAAGTCCCCAAGCACAATGACTGCCGTGGGATAGAGAGGACGGCTGCGAGGCAGGGGCTAAAGTCATTGGTGAAGGAGTCCTTCAGGACTGGCAGTGGACCCACCAGACGGCATTGGCTTCGAAAGAGCTCGGGGTCAGGGAAAGAAAAGGAGAAACATCTGGAAAGCAGCAATGGGGGCAGCAGAGGCTAGGCCTGCCGGCACGGGGACTGACAAAGAGTCAGTGAAACAGCCTTCCCTTGAGAGGGTGAGGACACGGTCCTTACATGAGGGGCACCCGCGAGCACCTCTGACCACATGTCGCAAGCTCAGTGCCTGCTCTCCAGACCTGCTCCGTCATGAGCAATGGTGCCCACTCACCTGGGTCAGACACTGGACGGTCAGCCTTGGTGCCTCCCTCTCCCCACTAGAGCTGACCTATCACCAAGGCCTAAATGTTCCCTCCTTCGTATACCTGTGGACACTTCTGGATCCAAGCCTGTGGCCACTGCCAGGGCCTCAGTGAGGGTCTCCTGGCCACTGGTCTTGACACTCTCTCCCCTCATCTAGTCTCTGCAGCCACAGAGAAACATCCAAAATGCAAACCTGCTGTTGTCTCATTCCGACTGGAAGCTCTGCAGCGGCCCTGTGTGAGGCTTAGATCGAAGCTCCCAGAGACCGTCTGCCCTCCCCCGGGGCTCCAGCTCTGTCCTGAATCTCTCCTCCTTGGCCTCTTGTGAACACTCTCCACCCCCGACTGCACTTTTCTCCGTCCTCCAAAAGGTCAAGGTGTTTGAATTCTGTTTATTGTTTCTTTGCATGTTTGTTTTTGGCACCTTTGCTACAGCAATGGCCCAGAATATTCTTTCCTGATAGGCACCTGGAGGACTCCTGCTAATTCATTATTCGGGTTGTTGAAGGAACCAATTCCCTCCTTTCTCGATCTCAAAAGTAATCTTACTTTCTGCTTCCCATGTCCAGCGTATACACCATCTCCTGTCCCAGCACTGTTGTGCATATCGTGGTGTTTTTCCTGTTCACGTGTCTGTAAGCCTTGTGACGGCAGTTTCCTTCTCTGTCCTCAGAACTCAAAGCAACAATGCTGCGTGGTGGGCACTCGGCAAATATCTATTGAGTGAATAAGTCGACTCCATTAAATTAATAACAGGATAATCTTTCAAAAATTACTCTAGGCCGATGCTTATTAAATCCGGTGTAGGGTGGCACAGAGTGGTGTGGCAAGGTGTTCTTAAAGCTGCAGAAGAAGCCTCTCTTGGGTTAGTCTGGCTCATTTTTTTGAGATTAGCGAGTAAACA